TCTCAGCCAAACAATGGAAAGGGCTATGAGCCAATCATCTACCTCAGGGAGATGCACCCCTCCAAACAGTCATCCATGAGAGATCAGAAGGGAAGCATTTTTTTTTTTTTTTTTAATTGTGATTTGGGTGAAAGTTTATAGAGGAAGTTCACTTTCCATACAGCAGCTCACACACACTTTGTCTCATGACAGTGACTACAGTTTACCACAATGCAACAGCTCCCCTCTCTCTTCCTCCCCATAGTTACCTCTTCCCTGTGTCCTTCCCTTCCAGGCATTCCTGCCCCCCCCCCAAGCTGTTTCCCTGTGCATACACAGCCCTTCTATTCTCCTTTGATTGATCTCTCCAAGAAGTATATCTACCTAATGTAAATGTTCAGCTCATATGCCCGTCTTTTGTTAGGTGGGAAGCCACAGGGGTAGGTTTGATTCCAGACCTGAAGGGCAGCTAGGGGCCATAGTCTCAGTGGTTCCACCAGGCTCTATCAGACCAGCAAATCTGAAGGGCATCATTTGCATAGGGGGAAAGCTAGAGAGACAGGAATGTATAGGTAAGAAGGACAAAGGAAAGGGATAGTCACAGGGTAGAGATAGGAGGAAAGCTATTTATTGATGGGATTATAACTGGTGCCCTGAAACAAAACATGTATCAACTGTTGAGCATAAAATGAGTCTGCTTTGTAAATGTGGGCCCAAATCACAATGAAAAGTTTGGGGGGAAAAAAAAAAAACTTTAGAAAAAATAGTCATTTCATTGATCTGGACTACCCCATTCTCACCACAAGAAGCTCTCATAGTGTAGTTCCTAAGGTATTTGACTGCTAACCAGAAGGTTGGTGGTTCAAACCCAACTGCCACTCTGCAGAAGGAAGACTGGGCAATCTACTTCTATAAAGATTTACTGCCTCAGAAGCCCAATGGGGGTTGATATGACTCACCAATGCCACACATCTCTGTTGCCTCCCTTCGGGATCTATGAACAATTCATGAGGCAGAAAATTAGGTGGATGCAGTCATCAAATATATGGTACTTTTCATCACCATTCTTTTCTCCAACCTCCACTCAAATCACGGAAACATATCTTCAATTACAATAAAATGGAGCATAAAGAAATTACAAAGGCTTTTGCCAAGGAAACCTAAAGCTAAAATCATTTTGGGAAAAGTTTTAAACCTTCTTGGGATAGACTCAAGCAGCCAATATGATCTCATATTAAAGTGATACTAATTTAAGTATAGATTCTAGTAAGTAAAATGATACTGAGGTTAAATTAGATCATACTTCTAACATCTGAAAGATGGTAATGATCAATCTCTGTAATACTATATGAATTTTTTTTTCTTCATTATACATAGAATGTTATATATGCTTCTTTTACCCCCCTCCCACTGTTCCTTCAGGAAGGAGCTCTGTGGCATGCATAGTGCATAAGGCATTTGGCTGCTAACCAGAAGGTCAGCAGTTCAAACCTACCACCAACTCCGTGGAAGGAAGATGGGGCAATCTACTTCTGTAAAGATTTACAACTTCAGAAAGCCATTGGGGGTCACTATGAGTCAGAATCAACTAGATTGGCAGTGAGTTTGGTTTGGTTTTGGTTCCTTCAGGGAAGAATACTTTTCTGCTCCCTCTCCTTGCTTTATTTCAGAAGGACTGACTGTAAGATATTACTGAATGCTTGAAATGAAAAAAAAAGAAAGAAAGAAAAAAAAAACACAGTCTATTTAGATTTTGGCATTACTGAAATTACAAAGTTAATTTTCAGTAAACTAAACCTGCTGCCACTGTGTTGATTCCGACTTGTAGTAACCACATGAGACAGAGCAGAACTGCCTCACAGGGTTCTAAAGCTGTAATCTTTATGGAAGCAGACTACCACATCTTTCTCCCAAGGGGTGGCTGGGCTGTTGGCTTTGAACTGCTAACCTTCTGGTTAGCAGCCAAGTCCTTAATCAGTGCACAGTTAGGGTTCCTTCATTCTCAGCAGAGGAGGGAAAAATTTAAAAATATTTGTGGAAATGGACTTCTAATTTTATACTTACAAAGTTGTTTGACTTCTTTCCACCATTGAACACCAATCATTTTTCATAGCAAATGAATTTTGGTTTCATTTAGTAGAGCCATTAATTAAAGCTTAAAGCTTTCAACAGCTTCATTTTAATTCCTTCTATCTTCTAATTATTTCAGATTTTTGAAAAAAAAGGGGGCTGTACTTCAAGTGACACCATCAAGAATATTGACAGATAACCCATAGAATAGGAGAAAATATTTTCAAATTATTTACAAATAAAGGGACTAGTATCCAGACCATATAAAGAACTCTTTACAATACAAGGGGGGGGGACCCAACTTTTAAAATGGGCAATGGATTTAAATAGACATTTCTCCAAAGAAAATACATGAATGGCCAGTAGGCATATGAAAAGATGATAAACATCGTTAGCCATTAATCTCAAATCATGTTCCTATGCAATGGATTCTGACACATGAGTAAATCTGCTCCATAGGGTTTTCTTCACCATAATCTTTATGGAAGCAGTTTATCAGGCCTTTATTCTGCAGGGCTTCTGGGTGGGTTCAAACCTCCAACCTTTAAGTTGGTAGTAGATGGCAAATTTGCACCACTCAGGGACCTCACTAGTCATTAGGGAAATGCAAATCAAATGCACAGTGAAATACTACCTGACACCCATTACCAAAAGTCCAAACTCACTGCCGTCGAGTCGGATCCAACTCGTGGCGACCCCTCCTTGGGTTTCCAAGACCGTATCTCCACTGAAGTAGATTGCCCAATCTTCTTTCCAAGAAGTAGCCAGTGGGTTTGAACCGCCAGACTTTTGGTTAGCAGTCAAATGTCAGGCATTATGCCACCAGAGCCCCCCTTACACTCATTAAGATGTTTATAATCTAAAAGACAGACAATAACAAGTGTTAGTTAGGATGTGGAGAAATTGGAATCTTTATACATTTCTGGTGGAAATGTAAAAGGATGCAGCCACTTAGAAAACAGCTTGCCAGTTTCTCAAATGTTAAATGCAGAGCTACCATATGATCCAGCAAGTCCTCTCCTAGAGAATGAAAACATATGTTCATACAAAAGCTTGGACATGAATATTCATAGTAGCATTATTCTTAAGAGCCAATAAGTGGAAATAACCTAAATGTGTATGATACTAAATGTCCATGCACTAATAAATGGATAATAGGTAGTATATCCATACAATGGAATATTATTTAACAATGAAAAGCAATTATGCAATGACGCATGCTACAACATGGATGTACCTCAAAAACATTATGCTTTTTGAGAAAGAAAAAGAAACCAGTCACAAAAGACCAAATATTGTATGATTCCATTTATACGAAATCCCAGAAGAGGCAAATCTACAGAGTAAGTGTGTTTATTAGTGGCTTCTAGGGCTCGGAGTAAAGGAGCTCTGGTATTGCAATGGTTAAGGCATTTGGCTACTAAGCAGAAGGCCCAGGGTTCTACTTCCATAAAGATTTAGGGCTCTGGAAACCCAATGTGGGTCACTATGAGTTGGAATCGATTCAATGGCAATGTGTTTATTTTTTACTTTGATGGCCAAGAGTGGAAGGATGGGGGTGAGATGAGGAGTAACAGGGAAAGAAGTTTCTATTGGGGTGATGAAAATGTTTTAAAATTATAGTATGGTGATAGTTGTAAAACTAAATATACTAAAAATCACCAGACTGTACACTCTAAATAGGTGGATTTTATACTATGTGAATTATATCTCAATACGTTTTTAAAGATGTTTAAAAAAAAAGGAAGAGAAGATACAATGTTACACTCTATTTTGGGTGCCTAAGAAAGCCTACCCTCAGGTGTTCTATTGCTTAAAAAAGTTTGTTAAACAAGACATGAAAATAAACATTTAGGGAAACGCAGTCCAGAAAATAGCAACAGAAAAATATGCAAAAGACTTTGGCAAACAGTGGATCGATATTTCCCAACAGAACTAAAGGTTCAGTGCAAGCAGGTGAAACAGCAGCATTCCCAAGGGCGTATGAATCTAAACTACTAGGGAGTGGATAGGTTTTAAAAAGAAAGAAAGAAAGAATCTCAAGTTGAAAGACATCAGGGTCCTCCCCTCCCATAAATGAAGAGCATCTCCAAGACTGAACAGTAACCGGCAAGGAAAGGGAGGCAAAGGGCTTCAAGGGGCCAGCTCCACAGGCTCTTTCTCATGCACCCTAAACAGTGGCTCGCTTTGGGAGACAATTCCATTCCCGCGCCTGGATTTAGAAGCCCGGGCGCCATAGTGTCAATGCCCCGTGCACCCGCCTCGCCACCCAGCATTACTTAGCAACTCCGCTGCACACAGAGGGGCAAGGATGGTGGCCCTCGAAACGGACGGGGTGCAAAACCCAGGCCCAGGGTGCGCGGGAGTGACGGAGGACACCATGGGGCGTCGGCATGCCCCTCCCGATCAGAGACTTCAATCCAGCAATCCCTAGCCTCGCGCAGGGTGTGCCCCGCCGCCGACGTCCCGGGGACCAGGTTCGCAGGGACGCCAACGTCCCCCACGGCACCTGCACGAGGCATGGCGGGGTCCGCAAGCTCAACCTGGCACTCCCTCCGTGAGCTCTTACCTTCTGCCACCACCATTTCCAAGAGATTTGGGTCGCCCATCTTCGCAAGCTCGTTAATGACACTGAACGCCGAGGGGCAGAGAGCTACGGACCGCAAAGAATGGTCGGAACGTGCTGGGCAGATGCTGAACCTGATCTTGGTCCTCGGGTACGGCTGCCACGGTTCCAAGGTCTCCAAGACTCGGTGCCTCTCGCCTTGGCTGTCCTGGAACTCGGCCTCCTCCTCGGCCTCCACCGGGCACGGCTTCCTCGGCCAGTTCTCCTTCTTTAGCTGGTGCTTGCTCTTCAGCCCGTACTTCCCCCTGACCTTGGGCCTCGGCACCTCCTGGTCGCCCTTGAAGCTCCTCTTGCCTCCCTTCTCTGGAAGGCGCTGCTGGGATCTGCCCCAGTGCTTGTCCCCGTACTTGTTCGGCCTGCTCTCCGGCCCGTGCTTCCCCTGGTCCTTTCTATTCTGGTTCTCCGGCTGCTTTCCTAGACCTTCGGCTCGCTCGCTCTCTCCCCGCCTCTCTCTCCGCCTCCAGACCTCCTGGGCCGCCGGCGCCCCTCCCTCGGAGACAGCCACCTCCCCACCCCCCGGCCTGGCCGACTCGCGTTGCACTAGCACCTCGCCACTGGGGTGGGCCGAGGGCCCCGGCTCCGACTGGGTCGCTTCCCACCATTCCTCGGAGCTCGTTGAATCCCAGCTTTCGCGGCCGGACAGCCGCATTCTCAACTGGCTTTCCTCATCCGGTTCCACCGGGTCGGCCAACATACAGGACTCCTCTCTCCTTTGTCTTGCTGTCTCTCTTCTCTCGGTACCCCCCTCCTCCGACAGCCACTGACTGGGCAGCTGTTGCCCCTGCGAATTGGCCTGATTCTTCTCCATCCCCCTGACCCTCCGCCCACCGCAGGTGGCACTCCGAGGGAACCCCGTGCCAGGTCGGGAGTTATTTTTTGTCGGGTGAGAAAAAGCCCCCCGCCGCTAAAGAGGTCCCCCACCCTTTAAGGCCGGCGGGTGGCCGGGATTTCCAAGATTCCAACAGACCTCGCCCTCTCGCCTCTGCCGCGTGGGTACTAACTTCTCCTCCTGGCACGGTCAGATCCCAGGGCGCCAAACCGAATCTCTGTCTTCTACAGTTGGGGAAAAGGCATACATTGTGGCCTGAGTTCGAATTTATCGCGTGCTACTTAAATGTAGAGTGGGCAAATTTTTATAAGCTTCATTTTCGTCATGTTTAAAATGAGGATGATAAACAGGAATGCCGTGAGGGGCGCAAGGCAGAGTGGTTAGTAAATTAATCCACCATACACTGAGCTCTGCTCCACTTCAAAGGGTCTCTTACTGTCCTGAGACCTTCAGCCTCATGCACAGTGGGGTATTTCCATGCCTTACAGGTCTCTCTGAATTTTTTCCATGTTTTTTGAGAGCCTACGAACTGCTAAAAACCAAAAGACCAAACTCACTGCCGGGTCAGATCCGACTCTAAGGCGGTATCTCTACGGAAGTAGATTGCCCAACCTTCCTTCCGAAGAGTGGCTGGTGGGTTTGAACCGCCAGTCTTCTAGTTGGCAGTCAGATGCTGTAGGCACTAAGCCACCAGAGTGGGAAATAAGAAGAAATACATTCTAACGGGTAAACACAGTTGGGGGCGGTGATGGGGCAGTGGTGGACTTTTCTCCCTAGGAAGGCCACCTAGGTTGGATTCCTGACCAAGTGTGGCCACTGTTAGTGGAGGCTTGCCTGCTGCTGTGATGCTGAACAGGTTTCAGATGAGCTGATGGACCAGGAAGAAAGGCCTGGTGCTCTACTTCCAAAAACCGGCCAGTGGAAACCCCGCGGATCACAGTCATCGGGGCCTGTTGTGAATGGTTTTCCTTGTGAGTCCATGGCAGCTAACCACAAGGAAGAAACAAATTACTTATGGTGAACTCAGGGCAAGGTAAGTCTGTGCTTGAGAGCTTTGATAGTACTGAGGGAATAACTATAAGTATGGGGAAGGGATAGGATGACTTAAGAATAAGGAGAAGGTGGCCAAGAAGACCATTTACTCATTTTCACCACTTTTTTTTTCTTTCTGTTGATATAGGATAGGAGCCTTGGTGGCACAGTGGTTAAGAGCTCTTCTGCTAACCAAAAAGAGGGAATTCCAAACCCACCAGCAGGAGAAAGACATGGCAGTCTGCTCTCCCAAAGATTTACAGCCTTGGAAGCTCTACGGGACAGTTCAGCTCTGTCATATATGGTCGCCACAAGTCAGAATCAACTCAATAGCAATGGTTTGTTGATCATTTAGAGCTGAGAGTTACTTATTACAGGAGAGGAAACTGAGGCTCAGACAGAAGTATTTTCCTAGGGTTAAGAAAGCAAACCAAAACCAAACTTACTGCCATGGAGTTAGATCTGACTCATAGAGACCCCTCCTTGGGTTTCCAAGGTGGTATCACTATGGAAGTAGATTGCCCAACCTTCCTTCCAAGGAGTGGCTGGTAGGTTTGAACCGCCTGTTAATATGGAACTGGAAATCACCTTTTTCCTCTCTACTTTGCTATGTGTTTCCCACTTAAACCACTAGAAATAGGTTGTTCTGGTTAAGTGATTGGAGACTAGAAGCACAGTTCCTTACTTGCAGGCATGCTGTATTTTGGAATTGAGTTTGAAAGGAGAATATGCATAAATCAAGCATTAGAGTTATATGAAATGATAATAAATTGCTAAGTATGACATAAGTATTTGTTTTTTACCTTTTGATTATTGATCAGTGTTTGATTCAAGTTTTGTAGATATGATGTTTTATGTTCTTCCTGGATGCTACATGCTATGGATATTGGAATTAAACAGATCAGTACGATCTTTGTTTTACATAGGTTAAAGAAAAATAAAAGCATTAAAATTATATAGTTTTGCATAATTCTCTGTTTTATATTTTTTAATGTTTTACCATATTTGAAATGACATGAATGAGAAGATACTCAATGAATTTGCCAAAAATTAAATGGGATAAGTTGAGCTGAATTTGTTGGTATTTTGTCAACTTCCTTGAAATTTGTTAATAAGAAGTTGAATGCTAGTTGTGTTGTTTTGATATAGATCTATTATCCACAATTCTTTAGATTGTAGGGCTTTTTATTTTTCTGTATTTGTATCACTGAGATATTTTTATGCTACTCCTCCATTTATAATATTAGGATCTGTTCATTTTCTCAATCACTATATCTTGCCTTTTAGAAACAGTCTTTAACCATACATTTCAGAAATGCATACATGTTCTTTTAATGTAATTGAACAAGAAAGTAAGTATTTGATTGTGGCCAAGATGTTCTCTCTTTAAGCTCTCTGAAGGATTCCAGCCTTTGTTTCAATTATATTGTTACAAGCATACAGTAACACCTCTTTTGTTTTATTTTGTTTTCATTTTCCTTTTATACTAATGGTAGTACACACAAATATTTCAATGGTTATACAAAAACAGCTATAAAGATATAAATGACAATACTTCAGAAACTAATCTGTCAACTGGCAGCTTAAAATTCTTATTTAACAGTTGATGAATAAAAGTCTGAATTTGGTAAGGGAAAGGCATTTTAGGGGTGTTGGTATATAATGTGTGAAAACCTGAGGTGTAAGAAAGTTAAATGTATTACAAGGTGTATTATAAAACGTGCTTGCAAATGTTTTTATTTAGTAGCCTGATTGATAAGATGTATTTAACTCAGGTTGAAGAGGAGGAGTTCATGAGCTAGATTCCAATTGCCAGAAAAGGCTTTGGCAAGTCATGTAAAGAATTCTCCTCTCTCTTGTTATTTAGACCTCTAGTAGGATAGTGCCTAAGGCACTTGATTGCTAACCAGAAGGCTGGCGGTTCAAACCCACCAGCCACTCCTTGAAAGGAAGGTTGGGCAATCTACTTCTGTAGTGGTACCGCCTTGGAAACCCAAGGAAGGGTCGCCATGAGTCAGGTCCAACTTGACAGCATATAACAACAATAACAGTCTGTAGTTGGGAGATCTGGTGCCTTAGTGCCTAAGGCATTTGACTACTAACCAGAAGGCAAGCGGTGCAAACCCACCAACTACTCCTCATAAGGAAGACTGAGCAATATGTTGTTGTTGTTGTTGTTATGTGCCATTGAGTCGGACTCGACACATAGCGACCCCTCCTTGAGTTTCCAAGGCGGTATCACTACGGAAGTAGATTGCCCCATCTTCCTTCCGAGGAGTGGCTGGTGGGTTTGAACCGCCAGCCTTTTGGTTAGCAGTCAAGTGCCTTAGCCGCTATGCTACCAGAGCTCCCACTGAGCAATATACTTCTGTAGAAATACCACCTTGGAAACCCAAGGTGGGGTTGCTATGAGTCAGATTCGACTCAATGACAGTGAGTTTGGTTTGGTTTTGGTTTAGTCTGTAGTCTGGATTTATTTACTTTCTCAATTTCTCTAAATAACCAATAAAATCAAACCCATTGCTGTCAAGTGAATTCTGACTCAACTCACAGGATCTCATAAGAAGAGTAGAACTGCCCCCATAGGATTCCCAAGGCTGTAAATCTTTACGTGAAGTAGATTGCCACATTTTTCTTCCATGAGGTGAGTTCGAACCACTGACATTTTGTTTAGCAGCCAACCACTTTACCACTGCATCACCAGATTAAATTTCATCCTTTAGGTTATTAGGCATTCCATATTCTTTACC